GGGCAGCAGCTCGCCCGGCCCCTGGCCGCAGCAGCAAGCGGTCATCGCTTCTGGAGAAATTTCATTTTGCTTCCTGCGGAGAGAAAACGACATGAGGAGCTGAAGGCAATCCAGGAGGCGTGTCAGGCTGAAGAACTTTTTAAGGTGGGAATCTACGCGTGGCCACTGCTGGCAGACATGAGTCCTGCCCTCCTAACGGGTTCTCAGCCAAGACCAACATTAAGAAGCAAGTTCCGACAGCTCTAAGGCTAAGCAGCTTCCACAAACTTTAGAGAAAGATGCAAAAGCTTAAAAATAGAAGAAAAATCTTACAAAGAGTTTGGTGTCCCTTGAGAGACAAATGTAAACACAAGGAACACAAACACACAAGGAAACACTTGTGTGCACTTACTTGTTCAGTAACTAAATTTATTTTAAAAAAACCCCAAACAAGGACAAGCAAAGGTGTCCCTTTACCAAGACTGTGAAGGATCTTGTTCATTCCAGTTCGTTCTGTTTCTGGAATATTTGCCAGATACTCCAAGGCACGTACCTCAAAAAGGCCTAAATAGAAAAAAAAAAAAATTAAAAAAATCACTCACCTAGACGAGCTATTCCATCTTACAGCTTGTGGCATCTTATTACCATTAACAAGGAGGTTACACAAAGGAAATCATGCACGTAATGTAAGCTGCAGGATCAAGCCCAGAAAGGAAAGAGAGAGAAAAATTCTTTGCTTCGTAAGATGAATTCTGTTGCATAATTAGCTATGAAGAGCTACCGCATATGCCAAAACACCAACAGGAAAACTTGCCAGGACAAAAGGCTTCGTAAGAGTTCAAGTCACATGACATTACACTTTGAAAGTGAGCTTGTAAAACAAGAAAGTAGGATCAAACCTCACCTTTGACCACGTTCTTACTTAGCTCTCGATCCTGTATGAACCCTGCAAACATCTGCGTTTCCATGAAGAAGTGCAAGAAATGACGAACGTTGCGTGACACGTGAGATTTACGGAACAATTCCCACTGAAACACTCGTTCCCCTTTCTCTGTGACATTCATGTGCAGGGAGTAGTGTCCAACGATCTCCACAAAGAACTGCACAAAAGCTTCAGAGACCAGTGAGTTAAGGGGCGCGTCTCCTGCGAAGCAGAGAACAGAGGAGAGATTTCCGTCTACATTCGTTACCTTGGTCATTCTTCTAAAAGAGGAGTGGCAGTTACTCTTCAGGCTGGCTGCCTCAGACTCTGACAGTTCAGATGCTAGGCTGATATCAGAAAAGCCACAGCTCAAATAATTGAGATTTCTCTCCCATCAACTTTCTGCGGCTGCTAAGACAGGTTCCGTTCTAAAGCTTTTACTATAGTTAAAGCATTAATAGTTTCCCCTGTCAAATATCTAGTGTACAATAAGCTGTAAGCTTGTAACAGACTAACTGTAATTCTCTTAAACAATTAGGTAAGTTACAGAACACAAACCCACTAGAAAACTAACTTTGTTACTTCTGATGTGCATGGAATTACATACTTTGCCAATGCCATTCTCTCAAGCTACTCAATGCTTTTCAAAATTCTCACGCTTACTTATCTGACAGATTATGTATAAAACAGTTCAACTTTGAAAATTATCTCAGATCACACTCTAAAGTACAGATATTTGCTGCATTTTCTGTGTAAGAAAAATGTTCTCTCAGCCACTTAAGAAAAAACAAAGAAAACTCAAAGCATGGGAACTTGTGCACTTGGACCAAGGAAAACTAGAGCTCCACACATACTGATTGTGAAAAGAGCAACAGTTGTTAGGACACCAAACTTCTAACACAATCACAAGAAAGATGTTCTCAGTAAGATCACAGGAAAATAGCTTTCTAAAAAGTTGCTTCTTAATGTTTATTTCCATTCGTTCATTTTCATATCATCTACATGGAAGCCACAGAGATTTGCTAACATGAAAACACTTTTTCATAGAAGTACCTTGTGTGTCCCTTTGCTCATGTGACAAGATTTCACTTCGTTCTTCCAAGATTTGTACAAGTGCAGCCTGGAGTTTACGAGGCAGGATCTCATCTTCATCTGATGCCTAAAGAGAAAAATGCCCACAAAAGCATCTCTGTGTTTTATCTGTCATCAGTAGAACCTTCTCATTGTGAACAGATGAGAAATACTTGTAACATGCCTAAAACGGTGAGAGGGGAGTTACTCTGTGATATGGTATATCCTGGTGGAGACAATACATTTGTCTTGCAGCCACAGAAATTAAAAACATTTGCTCAAACACCTTCCAAAATACATGCTATTAGTCACACACACAACTGGCCAACACAGAACGACGTGTGCTATATCCACAACACAGGCTCAGGCTTATTATACCAGTGATAAAACACAAAAGAACAACAAAATTCTGTTGAGAAAATACAAGTCTCAACACTATGGTTAAAAAACCCCCAGATCCTTTAATACCTTTCTCCAGTTGCAGGCTGCAATGCAAAATAGAACAGTAAGGCAAGGAAAAGGAGATGCAAATACACTCCTGAAGTAGTAATACTCCAGTATGTTTATGGCTACTTGTCTGGTGACACAGAAGCACGGTAGGTAAAGTTCAGCAGAGAACCACAAGTGAACTGCGATAATTTTCTCCTAGACTCTTGCTCGTGGGGAAAAAACCCCCAAAACCAAGAACAACAACAAAACATCCCCCCCCCCGAACAAACACATGCCAGAAAGATGAAAGAGGAGAAAGCCCTGAAGAAAACAACTACACTGAAAGCAAAAAAAAAATTTAATAGCCAGACCTAAAGTTAAGCTCAGCCTAAAGCTCACATAATGAGCCAGCTAAGTATCTGTTTTCAAATTCAGCTCACATAAGCAGCATCCTCGCCTTCACAGAGCTCTGTACTCATGCAACTTCAGTCTTGCAACAAGGATTTGTAAGCCTGTTCACTTCTCCAACCCCTGACATTCTGTGATTCTTCAGCCCCTGGAGTCTACATATGAATACTAGCTTTTACTAATTTCTTGTTTTCGTTTTCTTTCATTGATGCCTTTTCTGGGTGTATAACCATGAGTGACCAGTACTGCTATTTCACTCACCTCTTGCAAGAACTTGTCAGCACAAAGATCAACAATCAGAACCTGGGGAAAGATGTACAAAATACACGAACTCTCATAACCACGTATGTTCCAGTGCAGAAGAAAACTTTTTTTTATGTCCCCAGCGGCAGGGGATGTCACACATGAAGCACAAGTTTTGCATAACTACAGCCTGTCTATAAGAACAGTGAATATTATTTATCTTTGATAACAGTGGAACACCCTGGCATGTATCCAATAAGTTCACCACCTCTCCCAGAAAAGTGTCAGAGTTTACATTAAGACAGAATCCACAGAGACTGTTCTGGAGAGGTCAGCCTCATACCACTTATATGATCCCCCCGTGCTTCACCCAGTTCTCACCTCTTCTATGGGCAGGTCCTGGAGCTGTGGCAACGAGCAGGAGAGAATGCCAATTAAGAATGGGGTCGGAGAGCACGCAATATCAATCATAGAAGTTGGCAGGACCGGTATGTAGGTGTGTTGCCAAGTGAAGGGATAAAGTGTGGCAACTGCAGCATGGCCACATTTAGACAGAGTGCTGGAAAGGGAAGAGAAGCACAGAGTGGACTGTCCATGTCTCGTTCAGTATTCGGCTACAGACAAAGCTTAGAAATGCTCAGGGAAAACGTAGTTCATGTACACTGTTTATGCACCAACAGAAGCCCCACGCATCCCCTTCTAAAGTCAGTTATGGGGGTGCTAGGAATCACATCAACCCAGACTAAAGAAATAAAGGAAACATTCCCTTATCTCCTCTTGGGAAAACAGCATATACCATATTATAAGCATGCACAAGCTGACTGTGGAAAGCCTGCAATAAGCTTTTAAAAGTAAACATTTACACAAAGTTAGACAAGCTTACAGGTGAAACAGGCCCAAATGCAGAAAAAAACTCAGTATCCCTCAGGAAGAAATAGTCACTCAGGCTCTTTTTTTACCTTAAGTTGTCAGCAACAAAGATCACCCTCCTTTCCAGCAGGAGAGAGGCAAAGACACGAATCATGTGAGGAACACTGAGGCACTTAAACAGGCATTCAAAATCAACGTGCTCAAGCCGTGAATCCAATGGTCGGCAGAGTTCCATCACCTGAGAGGCAAGCAGAGACGCAGGCACTGGTGGAGGGGGCCACGGTGCAGAGCCCAGTTGGACGATGGGTCCCTCGCGAGCGGTGCCCTGTGGCCGGAGCAGCCAGCACAGGGCATCACGGGGAAGATCCAGGCAGCTCTTCCTCAAAGAGCAGGGAATCACTTCTACAGCAGGTGGTTCATCAGGAAGCTAACTTCTGGGACAGATCTCCCTTCACACATTAGGACGTTCTCTTCAGATTCAGTCTGCACACTGCAAAGTGCCACTGCGCCCCAGGGCCACCAGCGACACAGGGAAGCCAGTCCCGATTCCCGTTACCTCATTTCCCGCTCCCGGCAGGAAACTCCTCACAGTGATCGTGCGTCCAGGAGCAGGGAAAGGTGCCTCCATTACACTACGCATAAACGGGTGCACTAGGGCTGGGGACATCTCTCGTCGTTTCTCCACTTCATCTAAAATCTGCAGGAAAACAGATCGGACATTGTTTCAATGCCTGCTGGTGAGCCAGAGGAGATATGAACCTCTGTTAGAGTATGCCTACTACACATGAAGCTACACGTAAAGGCGCCAATGCAGACACATAGCCCTCTCCCACCTTGCTTGGGGTCCCTGCGAATGCTCCCCTCAGATGTCTGAAAAATCACATGGGGATACCTCTGAATACAACTCTCCATTCTCAAATCCAGCTTCCTGCTACTGCAAGGAAACATCTTGTATGTGGTAATCAAATTCTCACAACTAGTTAGAGAAGTAAGAAGAGCATCACCCCATCCTCCTCCCCAATAAATCTTCCTAGAACACTCTTCTAGACACTCTGGCTCCAGCAATTAGAAATTACTTTTCTCATAACCTTGCCCTTGTACCACTCTGCTAGGGTGAGTTACAATCGCTAAGCAATCCTAGACTGGACAGAAACATCCAGCCACTTTCTGGAGCTTGTAGGTTGTCCAGTAAGAAGTAACAGACTCTCCCCACTTCACCTTGGAGAAAAGGTTGAAACAGCCCAGGCGGCTAACGATGCAGTACACCTCAGGAAGGCGCTTCCCTTTCCCTTCTGGCTGAAAGGCAACAGGAACAGTTATGCTGAGAACAGGGTAGCAAAAACGAACCTAGTACCTACACTGTGGCTGATTCAGATAATTCCTTCTGCTGTAGTTCCCTCTATGCTTCTGACTTAAAAGATTCCTGAGGAATGACCAATTCCAGGAGCCGTCTTTCACGCACAGAGTGCATTTTACTGCATTGCTGGGCACCATCACGCTCCTTCCCTTACACGTTCAAAAGGGCTGATAACCTCAGCAGCAGGACAGGTGCCACATAACCCACATGGGGAATTACTGCCAAGGCACGTCCTGCACCTGACTGTGCATTTATCAATTCATTCTTTACTCTCCAACCATTACACACATGCTTACCAGGAGCTTCTTGCAGTACCCAAACCAGCGGCTGCCATCCTCACCCGTCAACACAAAAGAAAACGTTTCACTGGAGAACCAAAGAACAGTCAGAGTTAAATTCACCATGCGGTTCAAAGAACAGACCAACAAACAAAGCACACGAACTACAAGCCATTCTCCTTCTGGTTATGCTGAAGACTCCCTGCTGTAGTTAGCAAGATACTTTGGGCTCTATTCAGTGTAAAAACCCACAACCCCTGGACTCTCATTGAACTACTACAGCTCTCTTCTTTCCCAGCTGCTTCTCCATTCAGCCAAGGAGCAACAGAAGCCCTTGCCAGCCCTGGGAGCTGGCCTTGAACAGACAACACAAACTTCACTCCTACAGGAAAGATGGTGCTTGGGCAGAAGCAGCGCTTCTGAGTCCACCTCCATATCTCATCTTCCTTGTCACAGGGGCTATGGATTCAGCCTTTCCCACTCTCCCTTGCTCTGGCTGCAGTTTCCCTGGTCCAGGAAACCGGCACATACCTAAGCTCTCAGCACTGCCTGTTTCAGGCATGAGTATTCAAAACTAAGACTTTACCTTTTCAGGTCTGACATGGGAAACCAATCTTTGGGATCTGGAAAGCAGAATTTGGGAATCACCTTTAGCCTCTCTTCAGTATCTTTTGACTGTTTGAAGGGATGTTCAGGCTGGAGGGGTAACACATGCATTTGAAGTCACAAATGTGGTGCAGAGCTGCAGCATTTAAAACAAAGGGAGACAGTATCTTCCTGACACTTCCAAATGCTGAACCATGAGATAACTAACGCACAAGTATAGGAAACCGTATTCTGACTATAACAGATTCCCAGTTCTCTCTTGCATCTTTCCTGCTTAGTGACCCTTTGGAAAATTACCCAGCTGGTCTTGGAATAAACGAAGGATTTACAAGCATGGCTAGGTTTAATGGGGAATGAAGCTAGAACCATCGTTTATGATCTTTCCAGGCAATGAGAATTAGAGCAGGGGCCTTCCTAGTTTCAAAAAAAAAGACAGTAAACTCATTATCAGGAAAGACATTCAATCACCCAGCACGATACATTAGGTCTCTAAGAGAGCAAGGTGCTTCCTATTGCAAAGCACATATCCTAACCGGTGGGCCAGCTTTACTACTATAGAGTTTAGGAAGTGATACACACTGCAAGAGGAAATAAACAGCTGCTGAGTGTGTTTTGTGGGCAGGTTTCCATGTAGTCCCTACCTTGCTGGGAAACTGCTGTATGATCTGTGGCGTGTACATCATCTCAGAGGCCTTCTTGTGCAGCGACACCACCACAAACAGCTCAAATAGCCGCTTAAGCTCTAGCAAATCCCTCTCCAAAGTCTGGTAGTGCGGGTTCCTCTTGGACTGCACCTGCAGCAGGCACCTATGTCGACCTGAACAAAGAAGAAAGTAATAAATCCAAAACTACCCTGTGGCTATCATTGCCAGAGACTTACAGGTCACAGAAGAGGATTCGTCACCACCTTTAGAAGGAGAAAAGAGGTGGGTGCATTTGCCTAACATCACTGCTGCACTCTATGCGACTTGGGACTCCTGCGTTAGCTCAAGCATAGAGCTGTTCCAGATGTGAGAGCACCCACCTTGCAAAAAGCTCTGCCAATCCCTCTTGACCAATAACTACCATTCTCCTGCTGTCCTGACATTCTTTCCACACATCCCAGAGTGACACATGCCATGGTGACAATGAGAGAAGCCCAGCAGTGAGAAGCCCAACTCCACCAGTTCAGTAATCACCAGGCCTCGGGCAGCTACTCTGTAAAGCAGCACGGGCATTCAAGGGAGGCAGAGCCAGGCTTCTTGACAAGAAACCTCCAGGCTGGGACATCTTCACAGGCAGTACAGGCTCACAAGCATGGGCACAGCTCTCTGATGTAAGGCACCATGACACATTCTGGACACTTTGGAAACAAGCCTTTAAAACAGGCAGTGACTCAGTCACTGTATTTCTGCAGAAACTCTTCACTCGCCATTACTCAACATAAAGAAGGGGAACTTCACTATTCACTCCAAGTTAAGGCTTTCTGTATGCTTCCCTCCAAGCAAATGAAACATCTAAAATAATTCCATTGGTCCTAGATGCTTGCTTAGAGACATGACAGAGTCACTCATGAGGGCTGCTGGCCAACCATTATTATTTCACATTCAAACCTTACCAGCATAGAAGCTAGGATCTCTTCGGTCCTTCCCACATCAGCTAAAACCAAGAGGTATCTCGAGTCTGTGGTTTGGGCCTGTGATTACACTCAGGACCATCGAACCAGAAAGGTAACTAAGTGATTTCTCCCCAGAGGAAAGGGCATTTCACAACATTATACATATAAAACAGAACCAAGGGAAGAAAGCAGGTGGAAAATGACCTCAAAAGTTGGCAATAAAGGTGATCCAGATACAATCTCCTGGAAGACATATTTTAGTTAAATGTGACTCTATATCAAGCCAAAAATGAATTTACTTCTACTAATCACCAGATTAATGGCATTAAGCCTCAAGCGCTCAGGAGAAGCGGCAGAAATAGAGGTTGATTTGTCACAGCAATAGCTCCCAGCCTTGGCCATGCTGCCTCTTAGATGCTCCCTTTCTCTGCCTCAACAGATTGTGACAGAAGTCACAATCAGTCAATGTGCTAATTCCTTTAAAGCCTTAGGCAAATGTGTAGTGCTATGGGGACTGGACCAGCCCCTGTGATTCACTCACTTTTGGGCTGATTTTCCGTATCACTTTCATTCCCACTGGTTTCACCTGAAACACACATAGTTTTCAATTATTAGCCATCCAGAAGGAAGACGGGCAACACCCAAAGTTGGGAAAGAGAGAGAACTTAAGATTCATCAGACCAACTCACTCAGGACTGCCTGTCTCTCCTGCTCAAAGAATCAACAAAGAACTGCCAGTACTGGCAAATGTGCTACAACAGTAAATTTCAAAAAGCAGAGTTGATATCAAGCCACTGTTTCTAGTGAAGCACCTATAGGTCAACTGAATACAGGCAAAGAACAGAAACTAGGTGGTTATCTGATGCTGTTATAAAAGTTAACAGAGGTGCTGAATACAATATACTACAAATAAAGACCATACCACAGCTACAAAATCATAACACAAGAATATTGCTTTGGATGCACAAAAGCAATGAGTGGAGTAGTCAGAGGTAGCTCTTGTGCCAACTGGTGTTGTGGGAAATTTTTGGGTTTGCTCTGCTTTTTTGAATAAGCACTTGAAACGAGTATCCCAGCTCTTCAGGTTCAGATCATAGTGGAATCTTCCATTTACAACAGTGTTGGATTTGGGTCAGCCAAGTATTCCCAATCCACATGCTGCCAAAAGCTCCACAACTCCACCTGCAAGGAGGTAGTGGTGTCTGGCCTGCTAGCAGTGCCCCAGATGTACAAGAACTGTGCTGCTCAGGAGGTTTATAGCAAAGAGAAAGGTGCTGGAGACCTCTATACCTTTCATTGGAGGAGCTTCTCTCCCAGCAGGACTGAGTAACTTCACCCTCTTCTTTCCACGCTTAGAATCAAAGATCTCTTGTATTTTTAGTATCAGCTGAAATCCAAAGCAGAAGCAGAGGATAACATGGGGGTCCAGAAAAGGGTCCAGGCACTAACAGGACTGCAGCCCAGCAGCTATCGTCTAGCACCGCAACACTTGGAAAAGACTGCCCAAATCCTGCCAGGGATAGATACTATAAAACAGCTGCAAGGCCGTGGTCCTGATGGCAAGTCAAGAACTCCAAGCCAGCATGCCAAGTAACCGAGGGTCCAAGCAGCTCCCCGCAGCAGCCACACACTGTCAGCCAGCTAACAACTCAATGCCTGCAGCGAGAAGATAAGGGTCAGGCTGAGAAGGCACCAGGAGCAAGGGACACGTATACTTGATCGTACAGAGCTGAACCTTTAGCTCATAGAGAG